GGCTCAGCAGTTAAGAGCACTGGATGCTCTTCAGAATGTCCTGAGTTCAGTTCCCAGCAACTACGTGGTAATTTGGTCACAACCATCGATAGTGGGATCTGATGCCATCTTCTGCATAAAGTCTTGCATGCAAATAGAGCACACATATAAATCTTAGAAAAAAGTGTGAGCTATTGTGTCTGTCAAGAAGGACCCCTACTTAGGAACTCAAACCACTGAAGAGGTAGAAGTAAGTAGCTTTGTATGGGTAAAAGAAGTTGATCCTGCAAGTACTGGAGGAAAATACACCCCAGAGTCTAGTAGAAAGATTTATTACTTCCTGTATCAAGATCCATGTGGAGAAAATGGTGTCTCCCTGGAGAGGCAAATGGTGAGGTAAATGTCATCTGCTGAGCCCTAGTTTCACATAGAAGAGGGAAAAGGTGCATGGTAGGAGATGACAAGCAATTAGTAACTGGTGCACACATCAACTTGAGTTTATTTTTCTACCATTGTTTTCTTGTTGAACTACTACCAAAAAATTCTCAGATTGTCTGGCAATTCATACACAGGAGGAAATGTCCGGTAGCAATCATGCTTATGTGTATGTTTTATTTTTGATAATGCCAAAAGTAATTGGTAGTTTAGTATTGATACCATAAAAGGACAGTCTCTCTCTCTCTCTCTCTCTCTCTCTCTCTCTCTCTCTCTGTGTGTGTGTGTGTGTGTGTGTGTGTGTATTTACAGATGTTTGTAACTCTGTATATATATATATATATATATATATATATATATATATATATGTGTGTAGACATATATATCAGTAAAGTCCTGTTTTAGTCTGAAATTCAGCTCCACTTCTCAATGACTTTAAATATGTCTTGTATTATGCACTGGGAATAGCACTTGGTATTGGTAGTTTCTATTACGTCAATTTGTGTTAAGAGTTGGAGAAATAGCTCAGTAAGTAAGGTTAAGAATACTTACTGGTCAAGCAAAGAACATTGGCGTATTTTCAAAGGCTCTGATGTTGTACTCTGGCCTTTTTGGCACTTGTATGCACATGGTACACGTAAATTTATGAAGGAATGCACAGATACACATACATTTAAAAAATTATTTCTTGCTTGTAAAATAAAATATTATTAACTACAAATGTACACTCTTTTCCTACACCTCCTTTACTTTTGAATTTCACAAGTTGATGAAATTGAAAGGCTCTGACATGTTTATAATGCCTCATTCTCAGATTGACTGATTGATGGTTGATTGAATGATCTATTGATTGACATGTAGTGAAGAATGCTGGAAGAAGGAAGCAGGGCTATTCTGAGAAACACTCTTTGAAGATATTTTAAAATTTAGGCAATTTGTCATTCAATAAAAATATGTCTATGTGGTACATGAAGTTTTGGCACTCCAGTTTGACCAAATGGCTGCACATGTTGACAGCCTAAGCATCTGTGTGCAGCTAGACAATGTATAACATGACTTCCATTATTATAGGGTGTACTCACACCTCCTGCATAATGATTCAGCCCCTTTCAGTTCTACCACTACACACTGCTTTAGTTTCAAAATCCTCTCCCTATGTAGTTGGTTATTTCAACATTTTGTACATTAGCAGGTCTTTTGATGTTTCTTGAATTATTTTTTTTCTAGATACAGGAAAACTGCTGTCTAATTGATTACATAACTGTCCCTGTGTCAGGGAACAACCAAAGTTTGTCTAAAATTATTTTAAGTGGTACTTAATTATATTATCACCTAAAGATTTCTTGCATTTTCTTTTACTGATAAGGGTTAATCCACAAGTCTCCCAAGAGTATTTCCATAAGTTAAGTTCACAATGTCATTTCTTGTATTGAAAATTTCCATATGTTATTTGCAGTACATAAATTTGGTGCATGCTAAAGAAAAGTTATCTGGTGAAGAATAACCAAGAACATTAATGAGTAGTAATTTGATGCAATGTTGTATGAGATACTTTATCACTGAGGCCATCCTGGCGAGTGGCAGACACAGTTTTTCTATGTTTCTTCTGGATTTTTTTTAAAACAAATTGCTCTGTACTCACTCACCCTAAGGAGACCAAGAATATTAATGACTTAATATTTGCAAGCAACTATAGATTCACGCAGCCAAGGACAAAGTACCTCATTTGTAAATTATAACCTCAAGAAACTGAACTGCATGTGAAATCAACCCTGCCCAAACCACATTTCACTTTGTATTATAAGAAGCCAATTTGCATTGTTGACTAGCTTCCATGTTGTTAGTTTTTCATTCTGCTTTATCATGTGGACATGGATGGATAGAAAGATGATGTTCTGATCATTTTGTCTTCTGTGATAGAGAAAATTCCGAGGAATCATTTTACAGAGAGTGGCTTAAAAAATACCACAGCATGCACACAATTTAACAACTCTGCTTAATGATTATAAATATTCAAAATTATAAAGATTTTTTTGGAGTTGAAAATCTCTAGCTGGCTGATGTGCACAGAGTTAAGAGGCTTCCTAAATGTTACACACTGTGATATAGGATGGCATTTTAGCACACTCCTGAAGCGGTGTTGTCAAGAACATTGGGTAGTAGATTTATTAGTTAGGCTTGATTAAGTTCTTTAAAACACACATAACTTGAATTTGGGAAGAAGGAAATTTCTTGCCATTGAGGATAAATAAACATGAAGGTGCAGAATGGAAACTGGTAAGTGACAAAGGGGCCTTGACTTAGCCAGGCTGGGTTGACCTATCTGGTAAAGACAGCTTTCAGCATGTTTTCTCTCTTCTCAAACACACACTTTAGAGTTTGATTTTTTTTCTTCGGTCTGTTTTTTTTTTTTTTTTTTTTTTTTTTTTTTGTTTATTACTTGTTTTCGTATTTGGCTTGAGGATGGATTGTGTGTGTGTGTGTGTGTGTTTCTTTAACTTTTTAATTTTTGACTTGGGGACAAGTAGACATTTGATGCATGTGAAATGTGTTTTCCTGCAGTGGAACACATTTTTTTTTCTGTGTGGCACATCACGTGATCAAAGCTCTCAGGGGTGAGCTTTGGTTCCTTCCAGGCTTACTCTGTAGAAAGCTCTGAAGTTCCCACTGGCTTGTGACTGTTGTCAGAAGATCAACACCTGAAAGCCCTCCTTGACAGTTGCACCTTTGCCGCACTTTGGTTCCTAGCACATCAATACAGTTTTTATGGCAGCAAGATGACCTACTGCATGGAACAAGCTAGACAGACACCATGCTGTTTCTTTCAAAGAGGAATCTAGTCTTCAGGGCTATTCAGAGTATGGAAATAGGAGACAAAAGCACATTCCTGAATGATCAGCTGCTCTCAATTATGCTTTCATTTCCAGGTGATACATATTTAAATAAAATTTTCCTCAGGACTCCAATAACAGGTAACGCCCCTCCTCTTTTCAGCTCTATTGTCTGCAAGAAGTGTTTTAAAACCAGGAATTAGGCATTCCCATTCTTTTGTAGTCATTATACCATTATGGGGTATTGTACTGTTGCTTTGGTTTTGCTCTCTATATACACTAGCCTGGCCACAGACTTGTGGCAATCCTAGCTTAGTCTACCAAGCAGTGCGATACAATTGTGAGTCACCATGCCTATGTTCCCCACAGAACTTTCTTTTGTTATTGCCACATCACACAGTATTGGAGAAGTGGTGGGTGGAGATTTCAGTGTAAGCAGTTTGGAGATATTAGGAGCTTGGATGCCTGCAGCTTTGTGTATGTTATTGAATTACTTAAGAGACTAGAGATTTGCTCTTTACGTGTATGTATAGAAGTCTAAGGAAGCCTCACCATTTACTAGTAATTAAACTTCTTGTGATGCATGGCTGTAATGGACAGAGCATGGCTGGAGGTGCTTGTAATGGAGATTATCTCTCTCTCTCAATGTACGTGATTTTACATCTCTAATCTTGTATATGATCATTCTCCTATGCAATGATAAGTATTCTGTGTAAATTTGCAAGGCCCTCTTGAAAAGCCTTTCTTTTTTCTGGACTCAATAGGGATAATAAATACACATCTGTCTTTGAAGTGGAGTGGAGAGTGATTCCATGAACTCCAAAGGCCATTATAAAGGAATGTGAAGGAAAAGGTGAAAAACTTGACTAACAACCATTTGGAGATGAAAATGTGTTTTACTGGGGAATTCCATTAACTGATCAAAGAGGAGTGTGTGTGAGCACATGTATTTATGCAGCTTTCAAATGAGAAGTTGAAATTTGTCTCTCTGTGTATTTTATCAAACAAGTTTGGCAATCATCTTATTGACACCAGCTCTCCAAAGGCACATCAAAGCTGGTTTGTCTGGTACATCTCTGCAATTCATTTCCTGAATTTCCTGTCCCATTATAGTTTGACTTGTTCACTGAGGGATTATTTTTTTTCTCTCTCTCTCATTTAAGATCAGAGTTCTATTCAAAGGAGACCATTGTCTTTGGATACTGAATGTTATTTCCACTGGAGGCACTGAAACCAGACAGAGAAGTGGTTCTTCTGCAAGGTCAGGGAACCTTGTCTGTAGCCTCACCTTGTAGCCAAGAGAAGGTCCAGTACTTTTAAAAGTTTCACTGAGCCAGAGTCTGTATCAAACTAATTTGATGTTAAAAACTATCAGTGAACTTTGAACTGTTGAGTAACAGTGCTAACATGTCTGATGGTTTAATTGTAATGAAGTGCTTCCTGCTAGCATAGACCACACACTGTGATAGCTCTGAGGATAGACACAGCATAGGCTTAGTCTCTGCACTACTGGTAGATACTGGCGCTATGGAAAACATCTGTTTACTTTCAAATATCTCCTTTAAATATATGTGCCAAGACACAAAGAATTTTTAATTTTACCCCTTCATGTCTATGCTGCCACAGTTTTCAAGATGACTATGGAGCTAGGACAACACACACAGAAGAAGAGATGGGATGTCCTGAAACTACTTGTAATACACTTTATTTTCACGTTTGACTCTTTACCAATATCATCCTCTCATTAATCCTAACTACTGTGTTGGTGGTGTCAACAGTACTTGCATCAAAACTGAAGGATATGGAGGTTAGCATGACACCAGAATAAGGATGACACTTAAATCCCTGAGGCATTCCATATTTTTCCTTCTGATTTTTTCATCATCAACTTTCTTGATCAATGTTCTCCAGCAGAAAGATTGTATAGCACTTTGACCACCCCACCCCAGTGTCCTAGGCAACACATCTTTCTCTAGGGCAAAGATACCAGAATCAGCTTCTTCTAATGTGTATGGCCTAAATTGTTTGCTGCTTAGTATCAGTATCACTTATTTGGAAAATAAAAATATTCTATTAAAACCACCATTGTCCTGTCCTTCCTAGTGTTCAGATGTTGGCAACAGCAAAAGGTAAGTAAACTGAAGCCTGTCTGTGTCTAGCAGCACAGCTTGAAAGAATAGTGCTCTGAGGAGTGCTGAGGAGTGCTTCTCACATTACTGCTAGCAGGGAACTTAGTGCACACACGTGTGCTTGCTTAGTCTAACAGCATCTGTTTCTGAATCAGGTGAGAATTGTTTAGAATGAAGGTCTCCTTTCTCCTCGGCTTTGATCAACTGGAGAATGTAGACATGGGTTAAAATGACAAGCTGAATAAATTCTATAAAACTTAAGAGCAAAGCATTGAGCATGACAGTGAGATTATACATACAATATTTGGTTTTGAAACAGAAAAAATAAAGAGTGTTGAAATTCCCTTTCCTCCCAGGCTTCCAGTCCATGTGCCCTCTTTCAGGGTCTTGTTTTAAAAGTGTCATGAAGCAGGAGTTATTTCAGACCAGTACTGCAGGTAGGTTCTCTTTTGGTGAATATTACCTGATGGCCAGATCTTTCCAGTGAGAATTTCAATAGGTGAGATGGAAATGATGAGCAATGAGAAGCATTACAATAGAAACATCATTTACAATGACAGCCTCACATCTGTTTCACTTTCTAATTACAAGTACAACACTCCCCCAGACACCCAGCTCAGGCAGCAGGGGTATAAATCACAACCATAAAAAAGCTATACACAACAACGTGATTCTGATTGTCATAGTTACATGTGCTTTGTATTCAGAACCCCACACATGCTTCAGTTCTGTGCCTGTCCTGCGTCAGAGGAGATCTGGCAGGATGGAAGGAGAGGAAATAAGAGTTTTTACACTAACCAACCATGTTTCCCATGGATGTTCCTAAACATCTTGTATGAACAAAATAAGATCCTGAGAGGAGTAAAACAAAAACTTCCACGTGAGAAAAAATTCAATTCTGGAACATTTTTTCAGACATTTGTCAATAAATATTTATTAAATCCTACTATGTGACAGGTTTGGTGCAAGCCTAAGGGGACAAAGGAATAAACAAAGCAGATACTCTTAGAACTGACAACCTAATTCTAGAGAAAGACATTAAAGATGATTGCCCAGAGAAAAACATAATTACTGCTGTGATGTTTCCATGAAAGCAAAACTTCAGTACTCTACAGCAATACAACATTCAGGGGGAAAATCCCAAGAATATAGAAAACCCTAAGGGAAACAGCAAAAAGACTACTGAAAACATTTGTCAGCTGCCCATCAGAAACTCAAGCAGGGTCAGATTTCTAGCATTTTTCAATTTCTGAAAAATCTGTAATTTGAAACAGGAAACAATATGAAAAAGAATATTGAAGGCATATTTTACAGATATAAATCTCAATTCGTTTAAACATACAGAATTGAATACTCCATGATTGATGTTAGCTTTTACACTGAGAAGAAATAAGGTTCATTTTGATTAGTGTAGGATACTCTGAAACACAGAAAACAGTCCCAGGATTATCTTGACCCTGATGCAAGAGAAGGATGCTTAAGAAACCAGATTGCACATCTCTAATATGGTGTAGCTCAGTACTTGGAAAGAAAAATTGCTATTGAAAAAAACATAGGAGAAATTGTATTGTGGTGTGTGTGTGTGTGTGTGTGTGTGTGTGTGTGTGTGTGTGTGTGTGTTGATGTCCATAAAAATGACTTCACTTCAACTTAAGGTCAGAAAGTTCAAAACTATCCTTACTCTTCCAAGGTTAAAGTCATAAAACCTAAATATCTTAGGTGTGGCTACTATAGGATGTTTTGTCTTAGAAGTGGATGTCTTTATCTAAACAAGAGACTAGGTCTAAGGCATGGTTACTCTTGATCCTCAAGGCCAGATAAAATGAGATTTAGTCAGGAAAATTAAGGAAGAAAGTCTGTTTCTTCCTTGTATCATGAAAGGGGTCTTTGTCCCTTTCCCCTTTTTGGTTTGGGTATATTAGAATGCTGAAGAATAAACCTGGAGTGTTCAGTAGTCACTGGATTGCCCTCCTGACTCTATTCTGTGTCTCTGTCATTTTCTTAGGCTCTTTACCTGATGTCTCTCAATTCACACTTCCCTTCTCAGGTACAAATCAGGCAAGTCAGCTGAATCTAACTGAAGCTTCACAAAGGAAGGTAACAACAGTGTTGTAATTTTTATGTGAATTTATGCATGTGTGCATACTTCAAATACTGCATATCCTATCAACATACTATTAAACTTAAAACTATGATATAATGCATTGGTATATGACTATGTGTACTAGTTAGGTTTTACTTTTTGTGATAAACACTGAAACCAAAAGCAACATGAGGGACTTCACTTGCCTTGTAGTTAAACTTCATTATGGAGAAAAACCAAGGCAGGAATTCAAGACTCTAAAGGCAGGAACTGAAGAAGAGGCTAGGGAGGAGCATTGTTTACTGGATTTCTCCAGATGATATGATCAGCATGCTTTGAAATCAGAAAACCTAGTTGTAAAAAATATTAAATATTGATTATGGTTTGTCCTAATAAGTATTTTCTTGATCACAAATTGAAGACTATTGTTCTCCATTTACACACACCAGGTTCCCATCCAGGTTTTTATACCTAGAGGAATGTGACCAAGAATTCCCCACAGGAATGTTCAGAGACCCATCCCCAAGTATTTTAGATTCTGTCAAATTGACAATTACCATTGACCATCACAGTAAGCAACTAAAATGCAGGCAAAACGAAATAAGACAAATCAAAACAAAACAACCCCTCCCCCTTTCACAATAAATCCCTAGGACTACAGTGCAAAGACATTTTTTTGCCCTTCCTTCCTCAATAAGTGTGGCAACCAGCTGGTCCCTGTTGTACCTAAATTCTGAACCCCCAAATCACCAAGAGAACCATTCCTGTGCAAAAGCAAAGAGTCTTTTATTATTTAACATGTTACCTCAGACCTTCCATTCCTGTGATATGGCAGGCAGGAGCAAGAGGGACCCCGGGGAATTGTGAGGTAGGGAATTTACTGGGTGTGAAAGAGGAGTGCCTAGGGGTATGCAACAGTCTCAGGATTGGTGCATTTCCCGGCTTGGGCAACCTGTCCTGTGTTGATTGGTCAACTGGTTACTATGGCCTATAGTCCCTTCCAGGGCAGTTGCTGTGCTCTGCCCGTTACTGTTATGCCACTTCTACCACAAAGCACCATAAAGCACATCCAGAGCCCACCAACTAACTTTTGATTGATTCCCAAAAAAGGGAATCTGACCTCCTAGTTACTAGGGCAGGTCCTGCAAAGTCAGAAGACTGGAAACTAAGCAACATGTGCTGAGTCAGAGGCCTACATCTTGCTGGGTCTATTCTGCAGCCTGTCATGGCTTCCAAAGCAGGGATGGGACTAGGTGAGGGTCTTATCCCTTCTGCTTCATGTAAAGAAATCACTGGGATCCCCAGCCTCTACTTAATCTTCCCAGGACTTAAAGATAAATTCTTTCTCATTTAGCTCTTCTGTGTTGTGCTTTAACTCTGTTGTCTCCAGCTCACCACTCTATACTGCACCTTTTGTACATTAGCAATGAAGAACCAAAGTGAAGGTCATGATCTATGCTTTAGACCTACCTAGCTTGGCATGTTTTGACTTTTAGTAGTGTGAGATGTTGAAAATAGAAAAAGTCTAAATTTTATAGTTAGGTATCATGTTGCCTTTTACTAACGAGTAGAAAGCTGTTGATTCATCCATCGGATCCTACTCATTTAACATCAGGTGCACTTTCAGTGTCTTAACAAATATCTGAACATTTCTTGTTCCTTTTTATGTTTCTTTAGGAACATCAAAAGGGAATAAAGCTACAATGTTCTGTGATAATTTTGAAAGTAAAAACAAAGCTATTGTGTTCCACACTACATGGTTAACTGTCTCTTTCCATTCCACAATTTCCCAGCAACCTATCTTGTTACCTGTAGTTACTAGAATTTTAGAGCTGTATCCATATCCAGTGTTTGTATACTAATACCAGGTAAAAAGATGGCATGTCACAGGGAAATGGCTTATTACATCACTTCTTGGAAACTATCATTGTTCCTTGTTTCACAGAAGCCTGAAAAGTTTGGTGATAATAAAAAGTTCAAGTGACTTGCATAGATTTTTGTTACACTCTTTCAAGGGCTCAGCATGTATAGCCAATGGAATTTGTGTTTCAATAGAATACAATTTGAAATGTGAATACCACTCAACTTTATTATTCACAAGGAAACTGAGCCCCAAAATGACGGGTTATCTGTCAGTTTTCCTCATGCCTGCAGTGAATAAAACCAATGATGTGACATATTGATCCATATATGGATGTTACCTCTGCCCACAAAGTCATGTTCAACTGACTGTTCATGTTTTCATATGTATTCAACAAGCACACGTATAGATTTAACAATTATTTCTGAGATGTCTCCTGCCCATATTCCTTCTAAACTTGCTTCTGGAAATGTGGTGATATAAAATGTGAATTAATCAGATCATATTTTTTGTTCAGTCTCTCTTCTGTGTATATATGTCTGTATTGTGCAGATTTGCATGTACATGTGTGCACATGCTTATGGAAGTCAGAGGAAAACCTTGGCTATTTTTCCTCAGGGCCATCTACTTCTTTCTGAGACTGAGTCTCTCACAAAGTGGGCAAGACTGTCTGTCCTAAGAGCCCTAGAAGTTCACCTGTTTCTGTGTCTCTAATACGGGGATTATGTGGATGTGCCATATTCCTTTATCTTAATGTGGCATCTGGAGATTGAATTCGGGCTATCAGAAGGA